TTGCTTTATGTTTGGCCAATATTTTCCATCCACAATTGCTTGAAACTTGAAACTGTTTGGTTATGGAGTGCCAGTGCCATTATCTCAATTGCTTTTTTTTTTTTTTTTTTTTTTTTTTTTTTTTTTTTACAAAGTCAGGAACTGCAAGTAAAGGCTGAGAGATTTAAATTTTAGTCATTAGCTGCTTTTTTCATCCACATGCTTCTCAACATTTCTAGAGAAATTTCCAGTGCCAGAGGAGAGAGCTGAGGGCTGGGGCAGCCACAGCTCCTGTAAAGTTTTGATAAGCAAATAGAGCTACACTTGTACACCCTCATCATTGGCTAGTGCTTTGGCCGCCAGATTTTGACACAAATAATCAGATTGAAAATCAGGGAGGGGAACAGAAGAGGAAAACACATACACACACACACACACACGCACGCACGCACGCACGCACACACACAGAAGAAAAGGAGAAGTATCTATTTGTGCAGAGACTTATAAAGTTGACAGAGTGAAAAGCAGTCCCTGGGCCGGCAGAGGTTCCCAGCGTGCCTGTGGGACCTGGGGCAGGACTCAAGAAGGGGACAGTTCCTTGCAGGTGAGTGCCGCCAGGACCTGGCCCTGGCTGGGCTCTTCTTTTGAAATTTCAATGTCCTTCTGAAGTCCTTTCAAAGCAGGATGGCTGGTTCCTTTTGCAGTTAGAGAATACTGCAAGCCAGTCTCCTTTCTAGATGCTGCGATCATTGCTGAGCCAGGGGAGAAGGCACAGAAAGGACAGTCTAGTCTGTGAGGCCCCAAGCTAGCATAGGCATCATGCTATGCTACCCTTCTACGAGCTTTGAGAAACTTAAATATAGGCAACTGGGCTTCATCCGCATGCACAAAGTCACATATGAACCTGAACAGGCACAAAACAGCTCTTCCAGGGCCGTATATAGGACACAACCAGAGGTACCAAGTAGGTGTCTTCATGTGGGAAGAGCTGTCCTACTCCAAGAACGCTGATGGAATTCCTAGCCCACCCTTCCACAGCCCCCAATGACTGTCTCAAAAGTTCCTGGGACCCTTGGGGAGACGGGGCCCCCTCTTCTCCAGAGCCCACTGAAGGGAGGTGACAAGGTGAAGCTGCCCCCAGCCTCTGGGAACAACAGGATTACTGGTGGGAGGTATTGCCTCGGGTTTTGGTTCTTTGTAAATATCCTTAGTTCTTTCTAACTATACCTGGAGGAAAAGGAAAGTTTGAGTTCATGGGCATCTGGAGAGAACAGCTCCTTGGGAAATAGGGCTGGTTGCAGAGATGCACACAGACTCTGTTGGTCTGTGTGTGGGGTCTTGAGTAAATCCGCGGTTTTATGAGATCACTGAGGGCAAATTAAACAGTCGCCTCTAGCTGTGGGTCTGGCAGCCTCTGGGGGCTCACAGTGCTGTGTCTGCCCACCTATACACTTCCAAAACCCTCAAAGTGGGGAGCTACCAGTGTGGAACTCTCCGACTTGGGGATCAGCATGTTGCTCTCTCTGCACAGAGTTCTTGAAGAAGACAGAGAACTCTGTGTGATTTAGGATTGACTGATGGAATCACTCCAATGGCGCGCACCATTCTGCCACTTCAAGGAGGGCAGTGTGAGATGAGCGGAGTCCTACTAGAAGGCTCTGGGACCAGGTACCAGGTCTCCCCTCGCCGGGACATGACACCTGCACCCTGGCAGAAACAGCAGAAGGAATTCCCTCCGTAGTCTGGAGGAGTTTTGTGTTCATTCCTTTCTGGGAGTAATTCCAGTCAGGGGGGCTGCTCTGCCCTTTAGTACAGACGTGTGCAGGACAGTCTCATTTGCTCACTGCTGTCCCATTGCAGTACTACACATACACAAAATTGATCATTTTTGCTTTTTTTTTTTTTTTGGTCTTTTTGAGACAGGGTCTCCCTGTAGCCCCAGCTGTCCTGGAACTCACTATGTAGACCAGGCTGGCCTCGAACTCACAGAGATCCACCTGCCTCTGCCTCCCAAGTGCTGGGACTACAGGAGTGTGCCAAAATGTTTTATTTATTATTTTTATTTTATGTGTGTGCATGTATTACCTGCATGTAGGTAAGTGCACCTGTGTCACGCAGTGTCCACGGAGGACAGAAGAGGCTGTCATATCTCCTGGAGCTGGAGTTACAGACAGTTGTTAGCTGCCATGTGGGTGCTGGGATTCGAGCCCCGGTCTTCTGCAAGAACAGCCAGTGTTCTTAACAGCTGAGCCGTCTCTCCAGCCGCATTTTTGCTTTTGGTTTGTGTTTCGTTCCTGTGCTAGGCACAGAATCCAGGGTCTTTGCACATGCTCGACAAGGACTCGACCACTAAGGCAGACTCCTAGTGCCCCAACCCCTTTTCTTTCTCTATTTCTTTCTCCTCCTTCTCCTCCTCCTGCTCCTCCTCCTCCTGCTCCTCCTCCTCCTTCTCTTGTTATTTTTTAAGACAGGGTCTCACTATGGAGCCCCCAGTTTTTCTAGAACTTGCTATGTAGCCGATTCCAGGCTGGCCCTGATCTCACAGTGATCTAGTGGCCTTTGCTTTCCAAGTGCTGGGATTAAAGGCATGTGTACCATGCCTGGCTCTTTTCCCCTTCCTTCCTTCCTTCCTTCCTTCCTTCCTTCCTTCCTCCCTCCCTCCCTCCCTCCCTCCTTCCTTCCTTCCTTCCTTCCTTTCATTTTCTGAGACATGGTCTTGTAGCCCAAACGGTCCTTTATGCAGCCAAGAAAGCCTTAAACTTCTCATCCTTCTGCCTCTACCTCCCAAATGACATTTATAGGGTTGCACCCAGTTTTATGTGATGTTGACTATCAAACCCAGAGCTCTGTACATGTTAGACCAAGGACTCAGCTGAGTTACATCCCCAGCCCTTTTCTTGTCCTTATTTTTATTTTTTTCTCTTTTATTTCTTTTTAAACTTTCAAAAATGTATTATTATTATTTGTGTGTATGTATATGTGTATAAGATGTATATTGGGAGTACACCTGCCATGGTGCACATGGGAGGTCTGCAGACAACTTTATGGAGCTGGTTCTTTCCTTCCACCATGTGGGTTCTGGAGATTGAACTCAGTTCAATAAGGCTTGCAAGACAAGTATCTTATCCACTGAGCCATCCACCAATTCTTCTTTTCTTTTTTCTTTTCTGAGACATTGCCCTCTCATGTTGTCCCAGCTGCCCTGGAACTCCCGGGCTCAAGCGTATTCCTGACTCCTTCGCGAGTGTTTGGAACGTCAGATGCCTATCACTGTACCTGACTCATTTTAGTCATTTTGAAGTGAACTGTTTATAGCCACCACGTGTATTTCTCTTGTACAACCATCCATCCCCACGGTTGCTTCCTTTTGTAAAATTGAAACCTCATACCTGTTAACCGATAACTGCATTGCCCTGCCCCTGGCCCCTGGCAACCTCAAATCTACTTGAGTCTGTACAAATTTGCCTATTGTGCCTTCTCTCAGAGGGGTCATTACAATATTTGTCCTTCTGTGGTGAGTTTATCTCACTTCGCATAGTGGTGTCAGAGTCCATCAACCCAGGCATGTTGAAGTTCCCTTCTTTGGGAAGACTGAATCAGATTCCACAGCAGGCCTGACCGTGTATTGCTTATCCATCCTATGTGGATGGAGCCCTGTCCCCATTTCCACCCCTTGGCTGTTAAGGATGATGTTTCTGTGAACGTCGATGTATAGACTTTCTCTGCAACCCTTGGTGTTTTAGATGGAAGGTCATTCCCTGTCGTTACTGATGTATGTATTTGGTGGTCCTGGGGACTGGACCCAGGACTTCACACCTGAGATTCACTGACTTTAGATTCTGAGTTCCCTGCTGGGTTCCCTAAGGTGACCCAGGCTTCTCACCCTTGACTCCGTGGAAAGGTTTTGTGGTTCCTTTGTTCTCTCCTTAAACATAAAGGAAGTCCAAAGGGTCCCCAGTAGCTGACCCTGAGAATCAACCCAGGCTTGCCCAACCCTTCCTAAAAGGGAACCCGAGTTACGAGTGTCTCAGGCAAGGTGGGTCAGTCCCTCACTGAAGGTCAACGGATTGTACATGGGATTTTAGAGTAAAGGGGAAGTTTAGAAATCTCTTAGCCCAACCGTCTCTTTTGAGAGATAGGAAAACCAGACCCAGGTTGGTGGCTGACGCGGTCACAAACTCAAGATCACAAAATCAGACTCATCCCCACGGACTGCACAAGGTGCCTAGATTCAGGAAAATCAAAACCTGCTGAGCTGTCTGTGCGTGGAGTCTGGAGTGTGGGATGCTGTGCCCTCCAGGCAGCCCCAGATGTGATTCTGACTCAGGGTCAGGAGACCCTCTGGGAGATGGAAGGTTTTATAAAGAGCTTGCTGTTAACGCAGGCCTCTTTCCGGAGGTCAGATATCATCGCTGCCTCTGTTTATGAAGAAATCGGAGACTCTTTCACAATCTCTGCGCTGAGCTCTCTCTCAGAATGGTTCGTGTGAATCAAAACCGAGTGGTTGTTAATTAACTATACTATAGGTGATTGGTTCCGTTTTTTTTTTTTTTTTTTTGACCTAGCTAACAGGGGCCAAAAGGAAGTTCTCTGGGTACACTTGGCTCCTGCTGTGGCCTTGGGAGCCTGGCCATTTTGCCAGGTTTAGGGGAGAGACTGCCCTGAGGAAAGATAGTAGAAGGGATCGGACAACGCAGCCAGGGAACCCCAGAAACCAGGACCCCTTGTTTCCTGTGTGAGCATAAGGTTCCCAGAAAGTGCTCATGAATGCGAGAGGTCTTGAACCTGTGTGGTCCTGGGTCCTAGTCAGTTGACCTGGGTTCACCTTTAACTCTGGGCCTGGGGGTAAAACTACCTTTAGGGAAATCTGTGTGCCGTTTATTTTCCACGTGTAGCTGGTTAGGATCTAGTATGGGGTCTTCAGGAATCTGGAAAAGACCCAGGCAACTGTGGAATCTGACTTTCCTATCCTTTAGCCCCGGCACCCAACTTCCCCTGGTCCTGTGGTCTGGGCCAGGGCTACTGTGAGGCGCACAGATGGCACCAGGTGGGGCAGTGGGCCTGGAGTGAAATCCAAACAGGACAGTAACCTTAGACCTTGACCTTGGGCAAGTCAGCATCCACTCTAAGCCTTGAGCACTCCACTTACAACCTGAAGACATTTCCTGCTTCCCTGTCCCCAGTGACTTAATGCACACCACGGAGCTGTGACCACATGCCGGTTGTCCTCCTCAGTGTGGCTATGTCTCAGCGAGGACACAGCATAAACAGCTGGCACAGCCTGGACCACACAGACTCCACTGAATGACGGTCTCCCTGTTAATTTTCCCTGAGCAGCCTCAGAGCCTGGCTCCTCCTCTGTGAGATGGATGGAACAGGCCTCTGTGGAAAGTACTCAGGCAGCCTTAGCAGACCCTGGCTGCCACCAGTGTGTGCCAGGACTCTGTCTCAGAAGCTTTAACTTACACTTTGGTTTTAGTGGATTCCCTAAGAAAACAGTGTATGTAAAATAAATCAGCTTTTGGGGCTTCAGAGATGGCTCAGTGGTTCAATTCCCAGCACCCACATGGCGGCTACGAACTGTCCTTAACTCCAGTTCCAGGGGAATCCATTACTGGGACTGGAGAGACGGCTCAGTGGTTAAGAATACTGACTGCTCTTGCAGAGGACCCGGGTTTTATTCCCAGCACCCACATGGCGGCTACATACTGTCCTTAACTCCTGTTCCAGGGGAATCCAAAGCCCTCTTCTGACCTCCACGGCAATGCACGACATGGGTGCACTCACATACATGCAGGCAATACACTCATACACATAAAATAAAAATAATAAAATATATTTATTTTAAAATCAGCTTTTGACAGACCATGGACAAAGATGGAGGGAACCCAGTTCTGCCCCCTCTGCTCAGGGTTTGGTGTCCTTCAAGTAAGAGTTGGGAAGATTCAGAGGGGGAAGGAATGGAGAAGCCCAGGAAGGGGAGTGGGAGGCAGGAGGAGGAAGACTCCTGGAAGATAAGGTCCTGGCAGCTGGGTAGGGACAACAACCTCTCTAAAGCCTTTGTTTAGAGAACTGAGATCTGACAGTGGAAGGGACCAAGTCTTTCCAGAGCTGAGAATGAAGGGCCCTGAACTTGCCCCACTCCCTGGGGTCAGCTGCAGCTCCTGGTTCATCCTTAGAGTGCACCTCCTCAGCTGAGCCTCCCTCCTGGGCCCTCAGTGCCTGCCCTGCACCTTTCCTGCTCCCAGCAGGGTAGGACAGTGAATCGGAATCCCTGCTTGGCTGATCTGAACACAGAGGCTGCACAGCAAGGAGGGCTGGGCCTGGCTACCCTGCAAACAGCCCCAAGCGTTGATGCTCCCCAGCATGGCTCTGAGCCAGGGGACAAGCAGACCTGAACCGTCTCCTGCTTGGCTCTGGGTCACCTGATGGGGCAGGCGTGACTCAAGGGCCCTGGCCTCAAGGCTGAGTTCCAAGCTGCCTTTCCTAATCTCACCTCCCACCCTGGTCTCGGTTAAGGCCTTATCGCCCAGTCCTGGCTGTTGTTGAGAAGCAGATTTCCCGCCTTTGCTGGTCCTATCGCTGTTGCAGCCCTGGGTGGGTGACCGGCCCCGAGTGGGGGTGGGGCTTCTTTCAGGCCTCTGCGAGCCAGTACTTCTAAGCTTCAGTCTAAACCGCCTGAAGAGAGGTTAGAGGACCCTAAAGAGGCTCTCCGTCTCCGGGGTCCTCAGGAGCACCTCACAGGTTGGGGAAGGAATATGAGCCATTTGAGGGGTGAGGCTGGTTCTCCTCTGCACCAGAGGACTCAGCAGAGAGGTCAGCATTGCCCCCATCTGGGCAGGTCCTGTGACTGGATTTGGTCCTCAAATTCTCCCCCACACCTGAATAGAAGGGTCGATGATGACACCAAGTTGGGATGCCTCCCATTTAGCCCTTGGCGGCAGGGCATCCACATCTTTCACTCAATCCATGAGGAAATAGACCTCCAGGTGCGGTGCACAGTGCACCGGGGGCTCCTTCCACACCTCAGAGACAGAAAGCTCTTTCTGGAGAGCTGACTGCAGGCTGAGGCTCTGTCTGCAGTAGCTCCCAGCCTGCAGTGTGATGTAGGTTTGCAATTAAGGCTCTTCCCTCCTCATTTGCAGCGACCCCTCACCAGGCCCCAAGTAGCCAGTAGCGCCTGGGATGCCCTCATCAGCACCCCCAGGCTGGGCAGCATACCTAAAGAAAAGGAAGTTATTAGCCCAGAGAGGTAATATGCCCCACCTTGAACAGCAGGCAAACTGAGCTTCTCATCCTATGAACTTCTAATCTAAAAATCTAAGCTCAGAGGACTGCTTTATATGGCCTCTAAAAGTATGTCCAATTGGGCCTCAAGTGTAAGTTTGGTTTTTTTTTTCTTTTGAGACAGGGTGTCCTATATAACCCACGCTGGCCTTGAATTCAATATATAGCTGAGGATGACTTTAAACTTTAAACTGATCCTCCTGCCTCCACTTCCCAAGAATTGGGATTACAGTCATGTGTCAACACACCCAATTTTATGTGGTGCTGTGGACTGAACCCAGAGCTTGGTGCATGCTAGGCAAGGCAAGCACTCTTCCATCCGAGCTCTGTCCCCAAACCTTCAAGTGCAGCTTTCTAGAACCAGGATCCACAGTGTGTCTGCTAAAGAGACCCCAGGCCCATCCTTCCTTCTTCTTCCCAGGGCAACCCAGGCTGAGACCAGAGCTTCCAGACATGAGTGCAACCCCCCCACCTGCCACAGTGAGGGAGAGGGTCATCTTACAGTTGCCACAAGAAGTATGAATCACAAACTGGGAAGGTTGCAATTAATTCACAGTTCTGAAGGCTAGATATTCAGATATTCAGTCAAAGTGTCAGCAAAATGGGTTCCTTCCAGTAGCTCCGATAAAGCCATTTCATGCATTCCTCCCGGCTCCTGGTAGCAGACAGAAGTTCTGGGCATTCCTTAGCTTGGAGAGGCATGACTGCAGTCCACACATGCAGCTTTCCTTCTTCTTACAGGGACACTGGTCATAATGAGTATAAGACCCATCTTCAAACAGATCTTTTTGTTTTTGTTTTTGTTTTTGAGACAGGGTCTCCCTGTAGCCCCAGCTGGCCTGGAACCTGATATGTAGACCAGGCTGGCCTCGAACTCACAAATATCTGCCTGCCTCTGTCTCCCAAGCGCTGGGATTAAACACCATGCCCAGCTCCTCAAACACATCTTAACTTGACATCACATTGACAGGTGCCAGGTGGATGTGAAGTTTTGGGAAACACTATTCAACCCAGTGCAGGAGAGGGGAGGCAACTGAAGACAGAGGAACACTGCTTGTCCCTCTTAGCCAATCCCACCCTGCTCCCCTTGCAGGTGGCCGCACACGCAGAATGCCACGCTCCTTCCTGGTGAAAAGTAAGAAGGCGTACACCTACCACCAGCCCCGAGCACAGGACGATGACCTGTTCTGGTCCTCCACCATCACCCCTGGTGAGTCGGAGCTCAGGGCAGCCTTGGCTGTGCCTGCCTGGCACCATCCTGCCAACGTGGTGCCAGCTTTGCGGTGAAAAGTAAGAAGGCGTACACCTACCACCAGCCCCGAGCACAGGACGATGACCTGTTCTGGTCCTCCACCATCATCCCTGGTGAGTCGGAGCTCAGGGCAGCCTTGGCTGTGCCTGCTTGGCACCATCCTGCCAATGCGGTGCCAGCTTTGTCGCGTCTGGGTCAATGAATGAATGAATCAAGCAATCAAGCACTCATCTTCTCTGACCCTTTCAAGTTCTGGGAGTATCAAGATTGGAACCACCACTGCTGGGGACATCTGGGTCCAATTGAGGTCTGGTTACCTCACCAGAGCCAGTCCTGCCAGAACCCCTGTTGTGAACAGCAAGTGAATGTTCCTGGGTCCTCTCTCCCCATGTGATGCCCCTTGCTCCGTACAAGCATCTCAGTAACTGTAGGTGGTGACTCTAGGGTCTTGTCTCTCCACAGTGGCCAGAGACCAGGTCCTGAGCAGCAGCCCAGTTCTTAACACACTGCTCCCAAGCCAAACTCTGGACTGGAACCCTGTAAAACAGGAGCAGGAGCTGCCGTTAGCCCAATGCCTGCCCAGGATGGCCTCTGCCCCAGGTACCCAGCCAGGATCTCTGTCATCTCCTACAGGTGCTGGGGATGAGGGTGACTCTTCTCTTGGGTAGGCCTCCTTGGGGTCAGGGAGTCAGGACCAACAAGGTCACCGGGTGCCATCTGGGCTCCTGGCTTCTGCTGGTTAGTTACTCCTGGACGAGTGTTTACTCCAGATGAGGACTTCTGTGTGGAGCAGTGGCCAGGTGGTGCCCCAGGTGGGGATGAGGAAATTTGAAATCTCTGTGAAGATACAGATACCCCCAGAGGTAGATAGTGGGGCTACACACCGAAAGCCTCAACAGGAGGTTAGAGGGGAGGGAGGAGGGGCTACGGGGCCATGTTATTTTAAAATGAATCACTCACAGGACTGGAGAGACGGCTCAATAATCTAAAGGACCCCAGTTCAGTTCCCAGCACCCACATCAGGCAACTCATGGCTATCTGTAACTCCATCTCTAGAGAATCTGACACCCTCTTCTGGCTATCTGAGGGCACTGCACTCATATCTCACAGACACACACACAGACACACACACACACACACATGCACACGCACACACACGGATAAAAATAAACCTTTAAAATGGATCACTATGTTTGTCTTTGCACAGAGGGACCCCTGGTGACATCCCAACCTCAAGACGGGGACTCACCCCTCTCTGAGTCACCCCCTTTCTACAAGCCCAGCTTCTCCTGGGACACGCTGGCTTCATCCTACAGCTACCAGCAGACCCCCTCTACCATGCAGTCAGCCTTTCTGGAGCATTCCGTACGACTGTACGGCAGCCCCCTGGTGCCCAGCTCTGAGTCCCCCTTGGACTTCAGCCTCCGATACTCTCCAGGCATGGACGCATACCACTGTGTCAAGTGCAACAAGGTGAGCAGAGGGTATGGGTGGCACTCAGCTCAGTTCAGCACTCCTCTCCAGGGAGCTGGTTCCTGTGGGTGCTCATGACTGGGTGATCTTGTGAATCTTGGATTCAGACAGTTATCATCATCACCACTTGAATCCTGACTGTGCCTGGCCTCATGTTAAACACTTGCTTGATATGGATTAGCTGGGGAGGTAGAAAAATGGCAAAGGTTCAGAGAGGACACATCACCTGCCCAAGATCACACAGCAAGCTCTCAGAATCAGCATCTAAATATGGCTCCAGCTAGCTTTGACATTGTTTCATCTTTTGAAACAGGGTCTCATGCAGTGCAGGCTAGCCTTGAACTCACTAAGTAGCCAAGGATGACCTTGAATTCCTGATCCTCCTCCCTCCACCTCGTGAGTGCTGGGATGACAGACATGTACCACCAAGCATGGTTTATGCAGTGCCAGAGATCAAACCTAGGGCCTCATGCATGACAGGCAAGCACTCTACCAACTGAGCCACATCCCCAGGCTCCCATCTCTGAGTAAGCAACAGGTTACTCAGCCTCTTGATGGGGCATGGAGGGACCTTCCAGGTCCCTCTCTAGCCCCCATTTTATAGACAGGAAACCACCCAAAGAGGTGAAAGGACCTTCCCAGGACACAGCAGTGTAATTTTCTGCCCTGTCCCCCATTGTTGTCTGGAGCTAGCACAAGCTGGCTGGCTGTGGAGCTCCAGGCCTGCCTCCCCCTAGTGTCCTGATGCTCTGTCCCTGCTGCAGGTGTTCTCCACCCCACACGGGCTGGAAGTCCACGTCCGCCGTTCTCACAGTGGAACCCGGCCCTTTGCCTGCGAGATCTGTGGCAAAACCTTCGGCCACGCAGTGAGCTTGGAGCAGCACACGCATGTCCATTCCCAGGTGAGCAGCTGGCAAAGGCTGAACGTGACAGGGATGGAGTCTCAGTGGTGGGGAGGGGGTATCTCACTATTTGCCTCCCTGAGTCTGGGTCTCCAACACCCACCCATAACATGCTGGGTCTGTGATTGACTCAGCTGGCTCATGTATAACTTAAAGAAGGTCTGGTCCTGGCATAGGATTTGGGGGTATGGGGGATGTAGTAAATCTGTGATGCCCAAAAACATCTTGTTCCCTGCGTGGCCCTCAGCTTTGGAGACCTCAAGTCTGAGAGTCTTAGAGTTAGGTTTAAATGCACATCTTACCCCACTTATCCCTGTCAGTTGGGACCCCATCTTGAGCTTCCTCTTCCAGAGAGAGTACCTGGCTAGATGGAAGCTGATCCCTAACACCTGGGCAGCTGGGAAAGGTGGGACATGACCCTAGGAGCTTCCATTTCTCAGCCACGGCTGGGAGTCACTTGGATCTCTACCTCCCCACCTCGGTCCTCTACCTCCCACAGCCTTTCCAGGCCATCCCTCTCACTGTTCCAGCACACAGATGAGGAATACAGCTCAGGAGGGTTAAATGACTAACCTCAAACCATCTGGCTACTGGACTGAGATGTGGCTCAGCCGGCAGAGTGCTAGCCTAGCATGCATGAAGCCCTGGGTTGGTCTCCAGCATTACATAAACCAGGCACACACTTGTAATCCCAGCACTCAGGGAGCAGAAGCAGGAAGATTAAGAGTTCAAGGCCATTCTTGCCTACATAATGGGTTCCAGGCTAGCTTAGTCTATATGAGAATCTGCCTTAAAAAAAAAAAAAAAAAGCCAGGCATTGTGGCGCATGCCTGTAGTCCCAGCACTTGGGAGGCAGAGGCAGGTGGATCTCTGTGAGTTCAAGGCCAGCCTGGTCTACATAGTGAGTTCAGGTCAGCTGGGGCTTAAAAAAAAAAAGGTACGTGGTAGGGCAGGTGAGACGGCTCAGTAGGTAAAGGTGCTTGCTGCTAAAACTTATGTCCTGAGTTTGATTCCCAGGATCCACATGGTAGAAGAAGAACACCAACTTCCTCAAGTTGTCTGTGCCCTCCACATGTTTGCTGATGTGCTGATGTATATGCACACATGAGTGCACGGGGACACATACACACATAAATAAATAAATAAATAAATAAATAAATAAATAAATAAATAAATATTTCAAAACATTTAAAATCCATGGTAGACGATAGAACTGGACCTCAAAGTTCAGATTCTTTATTTATTTATTTATTTATTTATTTATTTATTTTATGTGTATGAGTGTATTGCCTGCATGTATGTAAGTGTATCTGTTTCATGCAATAAATACCTGTGGCAGTCCCCTGGAACTGGAGTTATGTAGGGTTGTTATCCGCCATGTGGGTAGGTCCTCTGCAAGAGCTCCCAGCCAAGTCTAGTCCCATGCTCAGCTTGGCTGTCCCAGGCCTCGAGGCTCCACCTGCACCTGACCCACCGGGGCCTGAACCCAGGTGCTGTTAATCAATGAGCCATGGCTCCAGATCCCTGAATTCAGACTCTTAAATCACAGCTCAGCCCATCACTGTCCCTACCAAGAGAAGCTTACTGTGGATTACTGGTGAACTTAAAATAATCTCAGATTTGTGGTTTCATCGGTTTAAGGCTTATTTTGAGGGGGTTACTGAGAAAGGCACAGGAAATACCTCATAGGTAGTCAATCAGATCCCAGGTCTCAGTTCAAGCTGGGAGGCAGGTATGGGGTGGGGGGTCCTTCCTGCTTCCTGTTCCTTCAGGCCCCTGCCCTTGAGGCCACCCCAACAGAGTGTCTTTCTCAGGGTGTCCCAGCCGGGTCCAGTCCCACGCTCAGCTTGGCTGTCTCAGGCCTCGAGGCCCCACCTGCATCTGACCCCCCAGGGCCTCGTTTCCTCCGGCAGGAGCGTAGCTTCGAGTGCGGGATGTGTGGCAAAGCCTTCAAGCGCTCTTCCACCCTGTCCACCCACCTGCTCATCCACTCAGACACACGACCCTACCCCTGCCAGTTCTGTGGGAAGCGCTTTCACCAGAAATCAGACATGAAGAAGCACACCTACATCCACACAGGTGAGCATGCCTCGGCGAGTCCTGTGGGAGGCGTCCGATCTGGCCTCCAGGCACCCTGTCATTCACGAGAGGCCAGCTTTGGTTTGAGGAGGGGCTGGGGGCTAGTTTCTAAGTGGATGGAGGGCTGTGTCACTCAGTGAAAAGAGACATTGGAGGGACGCAAAGGTCAACACTGAGCTGCGGGCAGAATGAGATCAGCTATGGATTCTTCATTCACCCGATCAGCCACTCACTCCACTGTAAATCGGTGTTTCTTTGGGGACAGGTTCCATGCCAGCCTCGGGGACGATCCAGAGACAGGCTGTATTAGTTATTTTATGTCACTGTAACAAACTGCCTGAGGAAAGCAACCTAAAGATTAAAGAAAGTAAAGGATGAAAAGCAACTTAAGACAGGAAAGGTTTTCCTTGGCTCACAGTCCATCATGGGGAGGAAGAGGAGGTAGCAGGTCACATTGTATCCACCCTCAGGAAGCTGAGACAGGTGAATGTTGGTGCTTAGCTTGCTCCTTCCCTTTATGAAGTCTAGGGCTTCAGCCCATTGAATAGGCCCTCCCATATTTAGGATGGGTGCTCTGTTAAACCAGGCTAGATCCCATTCAGTTAACCCTTAAGAGAGGTGTATTGTTGTTGGTTCATTAAGACAAGACTTCAGTCGTGCATGGTGGCGCTCCCCTTTAGTCCCCAGCGCTTGGGAGACAGAGGCAGGCAGATTCTGTGAGTTCAAGGACAGCTTGGTCTACAGAGTGAGTTCCAGGCCAGCCAGGGCTACAGGGAGACCCTGTCTCAAAAAGACAAAAAACAAAACAAAAACAAAAATGACAAGATCTCAGGTAGCCTAGGCTAGCTTTGAATTAATCTGTAGCTGAGGCTGGCCTTAAATGTGTCCTCCTCCTGCCTCTCCTTCCTGGGTGCTGGGGTTGCAGCTGTGCAGGTGTGCCCCACCACGCTGGGCTGAGAGGTGCATTGCTGTGTCTCATCCTTATTTTCTTAGTTTAACCGTGCAAGAAAACCTAGTAGACAATGAATGGGGGGTGCAGGCCTGGCACTGCCACCCTGACCCCACCTTGCTGTGTGCCCCTCCCCAGGTGAAAAGCCCCACAAGTGCCAGGTATGTGGAAAGGCCTTCAGCCAGAGCTCCAACCTCATCACGCATAGCCGCAAACACACCGGCTTCAAGCCCTTCAGCTGCGAGCTGTGTACCAAGGGCTTCCAGCGCAAGGTGGATCTGCGGAGACACCGCGAGAGCCAACACAACCTCAAGTGAGGCTCCTGTCCAGCCAGCCCACCCCGAGGTGCGTCACCTGGAAGTCAGCCTCATGCTCCCGGACCCCCAACCTGGAAGTTGCACTGGCCAGGGGGTTTCAGGCTCATCTAATTGCTGGGTGACCTCATGCAAGTCACACTCCTCTGGACTGTGTCTACTGCTGAACAATGTGGGAGTCCAGCCGGGTTCTTCTGGGCTGAAGTTGTCACCGATGTGCTAAGTCTCTTCCTCTGCCAGAACACAGAAAGCTACAAGACCACCCACCCCTACCCCCCACCGGTGGACAGGGAGGCCAAGAATAGACCAGAGCCGCCATCCACAGAGAAACCAACCACTGGGATCTGGTCACCTTGGGTTTTTAGGAGTTTTCTTTCTGGCTGCCACAGTTGGAGCTGCCTCCTGCCCCAGCTGGAGGTCCGGCACCCCTCTGCTGCAGCCAGATGGGCTGGCTGCCCCCTGCCTCTGGCCACACTCAACTGGTCACTGGGATCGGGACTCTATTCTGGTGGCTGCAAAACCAGGGCTTAGTTCTGTTGGAAGCCCGCTCTTCTCCTTTGCTGCAAATAAAAATAAACATATGGCTTTGTTTACATGTGATGTGCAGTTTTTAAATGCCTGCTGGGTCCCAGGGACTGTGCGAGGCTTTGGGGAGGCCTTGACAGGCGGCAAGTGCGGAGGAGGAGGTTGCAGAGACCAACTTCAAGGTTTTGTGATGGGCACTGGGAAGGCTGGGGCCGGCTGCCTTCTGCAGCCCCTGGAACGAATCACTACAAACCCAGTGGCCTCTCATCATACAAACTGATTCTCTTCTGATTGTGGAGGTTCTGATGTCTTCTGGGGCTGAATTCTGGAATCAGCAGTGCTAAGACCTTCCTGGAGGCTCCAACTCTGGGTCCCTCCCTCCATCTGTAGAAGGTGTGGCTCTCTGTTCCTGGCCTGTCAGCTCTTTCCACCTTGGGTCTGCTTGCCTTCTCTCATAAAGATTCTTGTGACATCTAAATACCTGGGTAATCGGGTCAATCGTCTTTATTGTAATCATGGTGGCGGGCAGGATAACGGTCCCCAAAATTGTCTTCCACATTGGTACCTTAGAAGCACTGCATGGGGTCCAGCCCACAGCCAGTGCTGCCAAGTCCTTGCTTCTCAGACAAGGCTACTCAATGTTGCCGCTTCCATGAAGCCTCCCTTGGTCATTCCAGCCAGAGACTCTTTATTCTCTGACACCAAGCCTCCTGTGCCCCGTGCCTGTGGTCCAGGAACTGCTGACAATCTTCTATAGACATCTTTGACCTCGATAGGCACAGTCTCCAGGGTTTCCATATACGGTCTCTACTCCATACAACCCTCTGCAAAGGAGATGCCATCCCATTTAACAGATGTGTAACTGAGACACAGAGGGGCCAGCTGAAGAAGAATGAAAACATCAGGGAGACAGGATCGTATGTGCAGAAGAAGCTCCTTGGGGCTGGAGGATAGTTGTGTACTGTGCTTACCCGGCATTGTGTGAATCGTGGGGTCCAATCCCTAGTAAGAAAGAAAAAGAGTCCTTGGAGAAACTTCATTGCAGTCAGATGACTCCTCTGCAAATCACATTTTATCCTTGTGTGTGTGAGTGTGTGTGTGTGTGTGTGTGTGTGTGTGTGTGTGTGTGTGTGTGCATGTGGGGGGTGGGGTGGGAGTTTACAGGTCAGCCTCGAGTGTTACACCTCAGGACAGATGTCTACCTTATTTTTTTGAGACAGGCCTCTCACTGGGACCTATGCTCACGGATTCAGGTCCATTGGCTCAGGGGCTCTAGGGATCCTCCTGTCTCTGCCTCCCCAGCAGGATTACAAGTGTACATCACCACACCTGGCTTTTTATGGGGGTTCTGGAGATCAAATTCAGGTCCCCACGCATACAAGGTCAAGCCCTTTACCAACTGAGCCATCAACCCAGTGCAACCTTGGGCTCTCAAATTGAGTTGTGGTGCTTGACCCCCCAGTAGCAATGTGAGGCTCTGTCTGGGAAGGAATGGCCCATTCTGAGTCTGCCTTCAAGTCTCAGCTTACCCTCGTGCCCACTGATAGCCACCGGTGTGTCCTCTAGTTCTGTGCTCTGGTGTGGGTTTCTGGCGCATCAAGACTGAGGCTGATGTCAAGAGCCCCAGGCTCTGGGTTTTGCTGGCCAGGCCCCTAGGTACCTTTCATTGTAGAAGCTCTTCCAGTTTCCCCAGTATCCCCACAAACAAACCTGTCAGGTGTGCGCAGTGATTTGCATAGGAGGGTGGTCTACCCTCCCCAGCCAGCTCTCCATTGGTGTCCTACTGGGCCAGCCCTTGAAGGCAGGAAAAGACTGATGAGAGGCCAGGGCAGCAGAGCCAGCAGAGCCTAGGAGACACTTGTCCCCACCCCTCCTCCCGCCCACGGGAAAGTGACACCCACAGAAGGTAAGGAAGTGGCCCAAAGCCACACTTCTAATGGGGGGTACCGGACCCTACATATGTCCTATAGGGAGACAGTGTGAAAAGTGAGGGAAAGGCGTGGGGGAAGGTGAGCACTCTGCCTCCGCACGTGCTTGTATTCACATGTACTTGCACCCGCGCGCGCGCGCACACACACACACACACACACACACACACACACACAAAGCAGGAACTGCTTTGCATATTTCTTGTTTGCTAAACAAAACCAGGGCAATATTGGGATTTCAGCCACTTTTGCAGCAGGGTAGGGCCAGAGGAAAGCTGAACAGTGACGGGAAATTGGACACCTTCCTCCAGACAGGCTGAGGTTGAGGTGCGGTGAGGTCAGGGATAGTCTGTCTTCATCTTCCACTGACTGCCCCCATTGAGGAAGGTGGAGAGGCCACGGCAACCTCAGAGCAGAGGGTGCACTGTAGCCCCATTTGCATATCAAGACAGGGACAGGTGTGGGAACAGGTACTGGAAAGGCTTACCAGCCAAGGCTGGGTGGGGCAGCTCTGTGGCCAGAGATGAGTGGGACTGTACAGGATGGAATACACACACACACACACACACACACATACACACACACGTACACAGATACACATACATACACTCATATATATACACATATGCACACATACACATACAAACATACACATACACACATATATACAACATGAATACAAATACATACATATGCACGCATAAAATACACAATACAATGCATACATACACACATACATGTACACATGCGCACTCTGTCACCATGGGTGTAGAGCTGGCCCCAGACTCTGTCTCCATCACCATGGATGTAAAACTGGCCCCAGACTCTGTCTCCATCACCATAGACATGGAGCTGGCCCCAGACTCTGTCTCCATCACCATGAATGTAAAGCTGGCCCCAGACTCTGTCTCCATCACCATAGACATGGAGCTGGCCCCAGACTCTGTCTCCATCGCCATGGATGTAAAGCTGGCCCCAGATACTGTCTCTATCACCACTCCTCAATGGGCTTGGTATGAGGTGCACTGGGGCACCACCCATGCTGAATTGGAAGGACCTTCAAGGCCCCTGTTCTTTATCTCCCATGGGTGACTCCTGGCTCCCTATGTGGCCTGAAGTTCCCACCAGCTGCATTACTGTGTGACCTGGGAGGCAGTATCCAGCCCTGGGAAAATTCCCAGTCACTTCCATTTACCACATGGGCAGACACAGAAGCCCAGAGGAGACCCCCATTCAAGGTCACAGGGGCAGTTAGCAGCCGTGTCAGAATCTGGTTTCCAACCCCTAGTCCTGTCTCTCCCAAAATCCCAGGCCTCAGGGTGTAGCCCCAGGTGTTTCACAGGGTGGTAGGAGTTGGAGAGACTGCCATCCCTGAGGCTTCTGTGAAGGGCATTGATGAGGCCAATACCCCAGTGAAACACCAAAATCAATATTTTAATATTGAAACTAACTGGTCACATTGGGGAGTGGGGTGTGATTTCCAAGTTAATTTTAATATAAATGTCCCCTGGTGATGGCTGCTTAATGCCGTTGTATCCCCAGCCCTGGGCTCCGTGTTCCCTCTGAATGTATGTGGACCCCCTCCCCGTGGCTGCCCTTCCATCACTGTTAAGAATGGAAATATTCCCTCTGGTCAGTTCAGGACTGTGCATGTAGCTGAGTTGGCCCCAGATTGTCCCTCTCTATCCCTGACTGGAGTACACTGAGTGGAAAGATGAGGTGGACAGAAGGAGACCGGGAGTCCAGGCCTGGGAGCTGAGCAATTGAGGGGACTGGGGAGAAGGAGGGCTCTGTGCTACCTGTTCAGGAGATCAGAATATCTCCTGAAGGTTCCCTAAAGCCCAGGTGTGGTCCACCCCATTGCCTAATGGTACCCCAGCCCTGGCCACTCTGGATGACCCAGGCCTCCTGAGTGACCCTAGTCCCTGGATTCAAGCCCTCACTCCGTCACTGTTCTATAAGCTTCCAGGGGGTGGCTTGAGAGAAGCTCCAGAGGGGAGGAGCTGAGGATGGGGAAGAGTCTGGGCTGGCCAGCTAGGTATTTACACAGCCAGAGGACCATTGTCTATAGGCTGAGATGGCAGAGATGGAAATGGCGGGGAACTGGGCTTTGGAGGATGATGGAGGTTAGCAGGCACCATGGTGGTTCTGCTGAGGTTCCTACAGAAGTAAAGGGTGTCCTAGGATGGAGGAGAGGCAGGAGGCAGGAACAGGATATAGGAGAGCCAGGTTCTACTGGGCCCGGCTGCCCTGGGACTCCAGAAGAGTGCAGAGTCCTCCTGATATCCCCAGTGCTCTCTCCCTCTCGTCCCTTTCCTATGATGTCTCCTCCATGGGCCTTTCCCTATGATGTCTCCTCCATGGGCCTTTCCCTATGATGTCTCCTCCATGGGCACACACATGTCCCTCCCTCCCTGGAGCCCTCTCAATCTCACATCCCTGCTCAGGGAGGCCCCAGAAAGAAGCTTTCAAACTCTGATCATCCCTGGACCCTCCATTCCATGCCTAAGGAGGTAAGGAAAAGAATTAGTCATGCTTGGGCACAGAGTG